AAAGAGCCTTCATCAAGTATAGATGATTTGTAAAGCTATGTATTTTTTTTGTTCAATTTTTTAGCTTTTTTAATTTTAATAATGAGATTTTAAATTTTAAAAAAAAAATTATTGAAGATTTTGTTTAATCTCAACTTAAATTTTCATTTTTTTTCTAAATTCAATCTTTTATATTCCTCAAGGATTTAATATTTTAAGGTTTGGGCTCGAATCAAAGCTTAAATTTATGGGTTTTTAATGTTTCTCCTTTTAAACTTTTTTTTGTTTTTTACCTGAGATTTTATAGCTTTGTAGATACGCACATTATTTGTTGGTTTCTTTAATTAGTGAAGAGAGAAAGAAAAGAAAAAAGAAAGAAGGAAAAATATAAAATACAAAAAATTTTATTTTTTCACATTTTTTGTTACTCGTTATTTATATGTACTAGCATGCAAACTCACATTATGCTGCAGAAGCATGAATAATGATGCTTAAAAAAATTGTAATACATACAAATATATTGAGGATGTAAGTTGATCTACAATTTTTATCTATAGCATTATAGACTGTAGTGTGTATGTGTATGTATTATTGCATACAAAACAAATTAGTTTCGAATCAAGATTGATGGAATAGCAAACATGAATGAGGTTCAACATGTTTAAGAAGAAAAACTACCATACTCTTTGGATCATCTATCAGTTGGTAACAAAACAAACATAATAGATAATTATAATTTTATGTTTTTAAATTTTTTATTTTAAAAGGCACTACAGTTTTTATGATTGAAATGTAGTACATCAATTAAAATAATAATAAAATAAAATAGATATTTTTATATCAATGACATTTAGGATGTGAGAAAGGTAATAATTGATATAATTTTAAAAAACTATATTTATGATACTTAAAAACTAACCTTTATTAACAAAGACCATATTTATTAATTTAAAAACATAGTTAATAATTTATCAAAAATGATTTTTTTTGTTTCAAAATGTGATTAATAATAAATTAAAAAGTTACATTTGAAAATTTTGTTCTTCTTTCTTCTTCTTTTTAAACTTTTTTTTTTTTATATTTGCCTTTTTTTCATATAGCTATTTTTCATATTTTAAGATAACCTTTAAGGAGAGTATTTAATTTAATTCATCTATATAGTTGGCTAAGTTAATTTCTTGTGTATTAGATGCCTAAACTGATAAAATGAAATATTTTTTATTTTTGTTTCTTTATATTGTTGGATGAGTTTATGGATCAATTTTTGCCCATTGGAATATTTTAACACAAATTATAAGGGAATTTGTTAAGTTTGTATGTTGTTGGTGAAAATGATTTCACTTGCCAAGAAGTTAAACTAGATATTTAAATTTTCTTTTAAAGTTTTGATTTTTGTTCATTGATCCTAATTTTTGATAGAATTGTTAATTTTGCATATGGTTGATTTAATTTGATTTTGATGATGGTAATAATGATAGTTTTGTTAAGTTCTTGATTAGTTGAAAATAAATTAATGCTTAATGCAAGCTTGGGTTGTAATTTATACAAGTCTATATTTTAGTCATATTATTTTAATTATTTTTGTTGTATTTTTCTTTTTTTATATGAATATTTTTTATATTTGAAGTTAAATGTTAAAGAACTTATTTAGTGTGTTATTTATTGTTACCTATTACTGCTAACTATGTATGGTGTCAATTGTATGGAGCAATAATAAGTGATATTTTAATTTCTTATATTTAAGTATTTTTCCAACTAAATTTGATTCTTTTATGTTATGGAAACCGAGTTATGAAGTTTCAATTAAAGAGTTGAGCAACCTTTTCTCTTTTCTTGCAGAGAATAACAAAAAAATGGAGCATGAAGAATTTGAGAGAAATATGCAAAAGCAAATGGATTTTTTTACAACGTTTATGGAAGCAACAAGTTAAAGAAGTAAACTAGGTTATTTGCATGTAGTTTTTTAGTATTTACTTTTTGTTCCTAACAATTACTTAGTCATTAGAAGAGGTACGTGTTTAGATGATGATAATGATGAATTTTGGATTTTTTTGTTATATGCATACATTGCATCACGGTTGCTGTGATGATAATTGATGGTGGCCATTGCTTCTTTAATTTTATATTTTAAAATTATTTCTATGTACGGTTAGGAAGGTAGAAAGATTATGAGCTAATATATCTAAAAAAATGTTCAAACTATGTTTTAAATATAAATATTAATTTTGTTGTTACTTAATGTGATGGTAGAGTAAGATGCATTGATATTTTTGCATCTAATGTAAATGCCAAAGAATGAGCTAGCATTAGATAGATTAGATTGCAATTTGAACAACAATTAAGGTGTGATGGGTCATTTCATTTTTGGGGATAATTATGAGTTGTATACAATTTCAAAAGAAAACTTTCATGACCATTACTCTTCAATTTTAAATAAAAGTTGCATCAAATAAGTCAATGTTTGACTTTTTGTGTGATGGTTTTTTATGTAGTTTGTATCTTGATTATTGTTTGTGATTTATTGAATTTGCTATAAAGAAAACTTGAAAATAGAACATGTTTAAAAAGATAGACATATTTAAAGTTAATAGGCTTAGGATAAGGTGATTTTTGGTTGTTTCTTCTATTTTCTTGCATGTATGAGAAAAGGATAACTTTTGATGTAGCAAATTATCCCACTTAAACAAAATAAAGTATGAGTCACGATGATCCTATTCTATTAAGGGTTAGTTCTTTGAGTTGATTCTGCTTACTTTCAAGTTTTTATTTTGTTTGACGGTTTGAAGTTGTATGCATTTATTTTAAAAAAGTGTAGAAAATTATGTGTTATAATGGAGCTTTTGTGCGATGTATTGATTATTAAATACAAGTTAAGAAAGATTAAAGTAATAAATGTAGAGGGTGATGAGTGTTTGTCTTGATTAGCATGATTTTATCAAAATCTTTTGTACTTAGCATGATTTTACTAACTCCATAACTGTAGAAAAAAGGGGAAAAAAAAAGCCAGATAGATTATTAAGTTGCTTTAATCTCTTTATCTTTGATATATGTTGAAAAATATTGGTAACCTTTTATTTTGGGTGATCATTTAAGATTTTGCTTTCATGATTTTTTATAACTTTATTCACAACAGGCAAACTTGCAATGATTTTGGAGATGTTTCATTCTTGGCCTATGTGGTTTCAACAAACCTTAAATTATTTTTTTACTTGTTTTTCTATTATTAGACCATATTATTTGATATATGAGTAGTACTAGATTTCTAAATAGTTTTATTCTAATCAATTTATTGCTTTATTTATAGTACATATAAAGTAATTAGATTGTGTTTACTAGGCATAGTAATGCAGATGGTACGATAAGAATAATGTTATTTCATGTTTGGTATTTACTGAAGTAATGAATATATAGCAGTTATTATATAATTATGTTTATGGTTTGAAACTTTTAATATTTTATTATCGAAAATTTCCCTCGATTGTTTTACATGTTTTAATTTGATAAATTGTGGTTCAATGATGATTGGTGAATTTTTCTTAAAACTTTAATGTTTCTTTGGTGAAAGCATGACCATATGTAGAATGAGAATTGAGAATTTTTTTTTTTTTTTGAAATGAAGGTAGATCTAGCTTTGTTTTTTATTCATGAACATTTAGTAACTCTTAATTTCTTCATTTTTCCAAATTGTTGTTTTGCTTATTGCTTAACTTTTGTTTTGTTTCGTAAGTCTTTTTTTTAGAAGACATTGTTTGTGTATGTTATCTTAAAATGTTGATAGATTTGATTTTATATAATTCATTTCATCTGTCGTCAAAGTCAATGGATTGATTTAATGGTTATTTTCTTTCCACTTTAAATCGATGAGTGCAACCGTTTCATATTTAAAGACTAAATTATTTAAAGAACATAAGCTTTGGTCATAACAGAGTGCAGCTCTTGCATAGACATGCAAACTATATCTAACTATTGTGGTGAACATTTAATTTAGTGGAAGCTATAGTTAGACTTTGATAATATAGTATTATATTTTGTGCTTAGTGTTTGCTGTGATTGAGAGTAAGATAATCCTAAACCATGCTTCTTATATTAGCAAATGAATGTATTAATATTCCAAAAGTGACTTTTAAATACCAACAAATTTTTATGTGAGTAAAATTATTTGAATTATAAATAAGTATCCTCATAATCAAAAAGTATTGGTATAATCCTAAAATTTAAATGTTTTGAGTGACTTTTTAAATATGAAGAGTGTGATTATGTTCAATGTTTAAAATGTCTTGATATAAGATTTAAATGTAGATTTTTTTGAAGTATGATTTGATATTAATAATTTTAATTTACACAGGAGTTGGTACTAACTTGACTTTTTCTATTTTATAGTTTATTTTTAGATTAATCAAGTAATTTACGTTGAAATTTGTATGATTTTTTCATTAAACTTTTCCTATGAAAATTATAGGCATTATAAATGTTATATGCTTGAGCAATGATTGTATTATAGAGAGTGACAGTGAATAAGTATTATTCATTTATTTTTAAAAATATATTATTTAGTGTATCTTTAGAATTTAATCATTCGAAATTTTAATTTTTTATGAGTGTGTTTCATATTATAGATTGTCTCTACTAATCATATTTGCTTTTAAATTTTAATTAAGAATAAAATTTTATATATATAAATTTTTATTTTTTTAATTTATTGTACGTTAGAATTACATTAAAAATTAACAAAAAAAAGTTAAATAAATCTCGTGGCAAAGTGCGAGTAATATAGTAGTTATTTTATAAAAATTGACTAACGACACCAATCTTAATTAATAAATAAAAAAAAGATATAAAATAATTATATATATTAATAAGATTATAAACATTAAGTTATTTTTATTATAATTCTATTATTATTCAATTAAAATATAAAATTGTGTAAGAACATCACTTATAAATGTGAATATCATGTAATATTATTATAAATGTACACAATTAAATTATAATTAATTAATTAATTGTATTATGATAATTGAAGTGATTTTCGGCAGTTGTAGCATTGCCAAGGCCGAAAAATAAGGGATCCGGAACCAAATTATTATAAGAAATAATCAAAATTTCAGCTTTCCCGCGGCTCTCGGCCTTTAAAACCTTTGTCAACGACAGTAGTACAAAGTAAAGTAGTGGTAATTACTCTGTAAACCCTAGAGTGGACTGGAGAGGATCAAGACGGCAATTTCCTCCCAGCATTCATACTTTCCTTTTACAGGTAGGAATTCTTCGCTCTCCTTTTTAAACTCCAAGCTCGAATGTGTCTAATTAATTCATCAATCATCTCTCCATTCTTCTTCCTATGAAAATTTAGAGAGGAATTGTAATATGTAGACGTGATTGTTGTAGAAATTTTCTATTTTTTTAATTTATTCTAAATTTTTGAATGCAGATATTTTGTAGTTTGGTTTCAATTTTTAATGGCAATGCAGCGAAGAGTTAGCCCAAGGTTTCAAGATCTACCAAATGGTAGTAACTCAAGCATTGAGAAGATATCCAACGCAACTGACTCAAAAAGGCCACCTAATACTAGAGTTAGCCCCAGACTCCAGAGTATTCGTTTGGAGAAGAGACCCTATTATGGTTGCAGCCGGAAGAAGAAACCATTTAATGATTCTCAAGACAAGCTCATGGTCAAAAAACTCAAAGTTGATCATTCAATTTCGGAGTGTGTATCTAATATTTATGACCTTGATAATGGTTCTGTAACCGCTGAAAAAGATGTTGCAGATCTACAAGAAACTGGTTCAAAACAAGGCAACTATGGTGATATTTTAGCCTCTATTCCTGGTATAAGTATGGCTATGGCAGTGAAAAATAAATTTAGGTTGTTCAATAAGTATTACCTCCACTTTGCTAAGGTGAATTGTTTATTTTGTTTTTCAAGGGTTTTAGATAGAATTAAGCATTGATGTTTGTTAATATTTTGTTTTGTAAAAGGGAAAACAAAAAAAGTAAGATGTTTTACGGATTCTGTGTTGTTTCTTTTTAAGTGATGCAATTTATTTTATTACAAAATCCTTATTGAGGTTTATGTGTTTGAATGCCGTGGTTTGTGAAAAAATGGGTGAAGATCTTATCAACTGTGATAATAGAGTATTTTGGATATTTTGGATAATTTGGATCAAAATTTTTTGTTTTGGTATCTTTAGATTTTGTGATCTAGGATGCAATTATGATTTAACTATATCTTAATCTTTTTGTGTTCCCATATTTGTGTTATTTATTTCTTTTTTTGTTGTTCCTTTGATGTCTAAATTTTGTAAAAGGTTTCTACTTATTAGGCTCGTTGACTGTCAGGCTATTTTCGCTAGGATACAAGGAAATGGAACACATACACGTGCATGCATACACAAACATACACAAACACATTGCTCAATTAATTAATAAGACATTGCCTGCATTTTTATTTTCTCTTTTGGCCTTTTATCATGATTTGCTAATGAAACTGATAGTCAACTACTTGGAGTATAGCTTGGCAATCTGGTGGTTAAGGAATATGTTTCTCATACTTTGATAAAAAAGTACAAAGTGGCTCATTTTTCTCATGCATTTTCTTTGAAGTATCTCTTGAGCGGCATCTACATTGGACCTCAATTTTTTGCTAAGATTGGTTTATGCATGTAATAGGAACATGGATTTTGCTGTAGGCTGTAGCTTATATTTCTATCTCAATTGTCATTTAACTTCTTGTTTTAGGTTCACTTTGTGCAAGGAAAAGTTTCTAGAGTTCTATCAGAGTCACCTGGGTACGAACTCTAAATATGTCTTTGGATAGATTGCTTAGACATCAAATGCAAATACTATAAGTTTTTATGTGCGTCAGTCACACTGTTTAACTTAATGTTTTCTCTTTGCCAAGGCTTGTATGCAAGGACATATCAAATGGTCAAGAAGACAAATGCATCCCTGTTTTAAATTTGTATAATCCTTCTGTGGCTCCTACAGGCAAGTTAAGTTGAAATATTGAGTAGGGTTGAGTATTAGCAGGGCTAGATACCCATGCTGTCTAGCAAACTGTTTCCTATATGTGCTTAACTAGTTATGTCTATATCTGCACTGTCAGCTAAGCTTATTGTGCATGCATTGTACTTGGAAATAAGTTTGTTGAGAGAATATTACATTATTCATTTTATATGATCAAGTTAGTAGGTAAGAGGCATAATTATTTTTTGATTTAGGTTATTTTATTTTTCTTTTTTGTTATTATTGCATTACCGTTTGTCATTGTACCATTGAAAGGACTAGTTGAATTTCATGCATTTAAATTGAAAAAAATTTCTTTAGAAATTTTCCAATAAATCTACTTGAGTAGTTGTTGAGATTTTTAAAGACATTGCTGTTTGACACATGTCAATAAATTGTATGTCTCCCTTTTCTCTTAAATGCAAGTAGGACATATTATGCTCTATTAGAGAATGCTTATTTATAAAGGATATATTTTTACTTGTTCAAATTTTCTTTGATGCACTAATGTAGATCAAACTTGATGCATCCTTTTCCTTTCTCTGTTTACTCCTTTTAAATATTTTCCAACTCTTTTTTTGTTTAATGGTTCATCTTTGTAGGCTTTAAATATATCAAGTCCATTCAAGTTGCAAAAAATGTAAGTGTCCCACCGGATGCCCCGGGATGCAATTGCAAAGGAGAGTGCACCAATCCAAGGTCTTGTTCTTGTGCTCAACTTAATGGTGGTGACTTTCCATATGTGTCTCAAGATGGTGGCAGGTGAGATCTGAATTATGTGGCGTTGAAAAGTTGGGCTTTATAACTTTGCTGAGTTGAAATAAGTGAAGTGGAATTATTTTTTAACATTTTCTTTCTAAATATTAGGTCATTTCTTTCATGTTCTATTTACCTTATGCATCATCTGTTCCCACAAATGTCTATTATCTTGTTATTGAATGGCTTCCAATAATATGGATTTTAACATGATTTAATACTTGAATACATAATATAATATCTAAATATTTGCCTTCCTAATTGTACTGAATTATCTTTCCCTCTTCCATTTGGTTCCTTCGAAGTTCAAACATATCTTGGTTACTGCTTTAATTCTCCAGATCATATGTTACTGCACTTCAGCTGATTCTTTTAGTTAACTTTTATGAGTTTGCCATGCCTCTTTAGTTGTTATTTTTGCATTGCTTTTACTTGAATTAATATTTTGTTTTTACCATGCCAATTGATCAGGTCGCATCTTCATTTAAATATATTTCATGATTTTCTTTATCTGTTTTTATGTGATGTTTACTTGAATTGTGCCAATTCTTTGTTTCTTTTCCAAGATTACATTGTCTTTACTTAGTTCCTTCTTTCTCTCCATTTAATTATTTGCAGATTATTTGAAGCAAAAGATGTTGTATTTGAATGTGGTCCAAAATGTGGCTGTGGGCCACAGTGTGTCAATCGCACATCTCAGCAGGGATTAAAATACCACCTTGAGGTATAACACCCATAACTGCAAAGGCAATGCATGTTGGGTATGGAGTTGCATATTTGCATTTGAAATATTCTATAAACCTTTTTCTTGCTTACAGGTTTATTGCACTAAAGACAAAGGATGGGCTGTTAGATCTTGGGACTTTATTCCTTCTGGTGCACCAGTTTGTGAATATGTTGGAGTTCTAAGGAAGAATGATGAACTAGAAGATATTTCAGAAAATGACTACATATTTGAGATTGATTGCTGGCATACTATGAAAGGGATGGGAGGAAGAGAGGTACAGTACATTTATGGAAGAGAATAACTCAACTAGTTCCTAGAGTCTTACATGTTTGATCATTTAAAATTTCGTAACATGTGAAAGTACAACTTGCAGAATTATTAGTTGTGGTAGCTTTTGTGCTTAGATATCATGCTAATTGATAATAGAAGCAAAATAAGCATTAATCTTTCAATTTATTATGTTAAATTATAATTATTTTTACTGGATGTTAATTATAATTATTGGTGAGAAACTTTTTTAAGCTTCTCTTCCCAAGAAGCAGTCCATCTATGCTGGTCTTTTATGTTCTTGTTTGGTTTTTGTTCTTGTTGCAGCATGCTTTTTGTGCCTTTATGTGTTTGCTTTGCTGTGCATGCATAGGATTATTTCTATAAATGTTCTAATGCATTTCTCCTCATAGAGACGCCTACGTGATGTATCTATTCCTGCATCAAACCGTGTGAATGAAGTCGATGAGAAAACTTTAGAAAGTGAATACGAGCCTGAGTTTTGCATAGATGCCAGTTCCTTTGGTAATGTTGCCAGATTTATTAATCACAGTTGTGATCCTAACCTCTTTGTTCAATGCATACTAAGCTCTCACCATGATGTTAGACTTGCCCGTATAGTCCTCTTTGCTGCAGATAATATTCCTCCCATGCAGGTTAGTCCCCATATTTTGTTTTTACATATTTTCAAATTTGTTTTGTAATATGTTGCATTGTGTACCTGAATTTTCATGAGAATTTCTGTATGAAATTTTCAGAACCCCACTTGAGCCGTTTGTGTTGAAAAATCGAAGTTAATTTTTCTTAAGTTTGCATGGGGATGCTTAAGCAGTGTGATACTAACTGATAAAATAATTACAATCTAAGATGATTGATGTTTGTGAAAATGAATAAAATGATATGTAAATAGTTTTACCTTTTCTTTGGGATGTTAATTCTCTTAAATTTCATTATGAAATCAGATTGAACAATTCCTTATTACAAATGCAATTTGTTTCTTTAACCAATTCAATGTTTGCATTTAGAAGAGAGGCAAGGAGACTTGGAAACAGAATCACAATAAACACGAACATAATTAGAATTCTTACAGGCATTGTGAAAAATGGTGGTCGCTTCCGTGATGAGAATGGAGCTTTTCCTGCTGTTCTGCATTGTCTTCTAGATTTTTCATCCTATTTCCATTTTTTGCCTTTTCATCTCTAGTTTTATGCAATATGTTCAAATAAATCTAGGTTGTATCTTGCCATTTTTTGTGAGGTTCATATTTGTTGACATTTCACCATGGGGTTTTCATATAACCTGCAATTTTTTGTTCATTACAGTTTTACCATTATTGAATCTCAACCATCCATAATAAGGGGGCTTATTTGGGACCTATATCGAGCTCACATGGATCTCACATTCTTGGATAATTGATGTTTTATAATTGTATGCGTTGAATATGATTACGTTAGCTCGAATGCACATGTTGTCATGTAGATGATTCTGTTGACATTGATTTTATTCTAGCATATTTTGATCTCCTAGTCTTGTTCTTCTTGGTGGAACAGCCCAAAAACCCACCCTTTTGGACTAGCAGTATTCTATACTAATTACTAGGATCATCAATAACTATAGGATTGGCCTTGAATGAATGTTGATGAGAGATAACACTAAATGCCTGGGCCAGTGGAAAAGTTCTCAGTTCATTTCTCCTACTATCAAAACCCCAAATTTCAATGTGCATTTTAATACATTGTTATGTAGTTTCATATTTCAACTGTAATTCCAGATTAACAATATTATGGTTATGTGATGAACAGGAACTTACATATGACTATAATTATGCAATTGATAGCGTTATTGGTCCTGATGGCAAAACAAAACAGGTGCCTTGCTTCTGTGGTACAGCTGATTGTAGGAAGCGTTTATATTAGGCAATCCAAGTTTTGGCATTGTGGTAACCATTTCTATCTCTTGATCTCGATCTTGGACTCTTGAACAGGAAAAGTTTAGAGTTTAGATTAGTAGTACTATAACGTTGTATGAAGTATGGCTTTTTTACTAGAAAGTTTTGGTTTGCTTGTTGGACTGTTTTTTTCCTCTTATAATTATGCAAGAGCATCTATTGATGAAAGAAGTATATAATAATCTGGTTTAATAAAATATGAAATAATTTGAACGATAATACGCCTCCAGGATTGATCTGAACTGCTTATTAAACAGTATTTCTTATAATTCTGTGCAAAATCATCTTTGCTCTGCCTCCTGATTCAATAAACATTCACACCATGTTGATTTTTTTTTTTTTTTTGAACTTATATGTTTGGCAGGGAAGATGGAAAATTCTTCTAACTTAATTTTTTTTCTTTTCTCCTTCTCTTTTGACCAAATTGACTGTTAATTTCCCCGTTGTTTTGGGCTGAAAACGGAAAAAGATAAAAATGTTTTTCATTTTTCTTCTTATGTGATAAGTCAGTCTGTCTGCCACTAATGACTAAACTCCCCTGGTTTTGAAAAAGCCATAGATCAAGTGGGTAACTAAAGAAAAGTAAAAACAAGATGAATGAGTAAGAAATAAGAAACTCCAATCCCAGTCTATAGCTTAGGGCATCAAATCCTTTTGATTAGTAGGAATGGGACAATCTCTCTTTTTTATTTTCTTCCTTTTTTATGTCTTTTCTTATCCGGTATTAGTATTCCTGTTTAAGATTAATGAAAGCTAATCAAACCATAACATCACTTCATTTACACGATTCTCATATTCAAGGGGAGAGTCGCAGCCAGCAGCACTGTAGAGCAGAGAGTCCCCGCTGTGTTTATTTGGTATTGATGATGATTCCCAATCAGTGCCCTTGAGGCTTTTCTTCAAGGTTAATATTTGAGCAAAGATGTTGGAATCATCCATGAAGCCTCCAAATCTCCTCACTGCTGCAATTTTGTGTTGAGGCTGCTTCACTGGGTGTGCTTAAGCTGATTGGGGAGGGTTTCTTTGGAATTTTTGGGGCATGTGAAAGTGAACAACAAAGGATAAATTATGGAGAAGTCCAGTTGGTGGATTTATATTTACCAAAACTGGTGCTGTCATATTAATTTTCACTGCCTGATCATTGTTGCCCTTAATGTAAGCAAAGAGCCTAGGCAATGAAAACGAAACCAAATTTTTTTTTTTTTTTGAAAAGGAGGAAGACCATAATTTTTTGAGTGTTGAAAAATAGGGTCATTTGACTCGATGGTTGTTCCATCAATCGATTGAAGAGTATCTTTAAAGCCTATCAAATGCATTGTTTGTGGCAAATGATTAGTTCTTTAAACTGTTGAAACAGCAATCATTTTTGGTTGATTTTTGGTCGTATTATAAATACTAGTATTAGATTAGTGTCCTACAAATGTGACTTTTGTGCTCATTCAAAAGATAAATGGAGCGTTCAGACTTAAACCCATTAAAATATTATTCCTCAAAAAACAAAGTGATAGCTAATGGGCACCCTCTTTTTACGCGATCAGCTTAAATATTTCAATTACACAAAAAAAAAAAAAAATATGGGATATAATTACTTCACATGGACATCATTGAGAGGATCCGAATACATTATAAGAGGAGAGAGAGAAAAGGGTGAAGAAAGAAATTGTTTACATATTGAAGCCTTTGGAAACAGCACATTTGTAGGAGGCAGAAGTGATTGGGGAAGTAGCCAACCACAGCCTTTGAATAACTTCTAATCTCGAACTTTGGCTGGCTTTGAACGAGTCTGTATGAAGCACATTAAGGTGGCCACAGTTCAGTGGCTTCTCATACCCCTTGCCCTCCATTTGCTCTACCATTGACGCACTTAACACCAACAAAACAAACCCAAACTTTTTCATTTGCTCCATACTTCCAATTTTGGCTCTGTATTTGAACATGAAATTGATTGTGAATGTGTATCGATAAATGAACATATATATATATATATATATATATGAGGGGCATGCAAAGCTAATTGTGGTTCATATTTTTTAGCTTTCATCTTTATTCTAGTGGCTACATGAATGGCTACATGAATGTCTTGTTATTTTCAGCACAGTGCCTTTTTTCTTCTTTGTCAAAGATGCCACTTTTCACAAAGTTTGTGGGCAGTTTCTTTGACTATAACATATTCGTGAACATAGTAAAACTCGCAAAATAATGTATTGTCGAGTTTGATCTTAGAAAATGACAAGCTTTTTTATTTTAGAAATTGAACATTTTGCCCTTAATTGGCCCATAAAAGGACAACATATTGTGTACAAATGAGTGATACATACTTGCTTGGCACCTAACTTGTGAAAAGGAATATAGTAGAAAACTTTTTGAAAGTAGTTTTGAAACAAGAAAAGAAAAGTCCCTTCTATTTTTGTTTGTTATAACTTAAGCTCAATTGCTTTGTGTGTGTGTGTGTGTGTGTGTGATACTTAATAATATGGGATTAGGGACATTGAAAGTAGCATTTTTGTTATGAAGAAGAGAGAACCAAGTTACTGCAGTGGAAATTAAAATTAAAGTCAAACAGACCCTAATTACGCATTAGATATCTATATTAGTTTTTATAATTATATTATCGAACTAATAAACATACATCTATTTTTGTTGCTCCATGTATGCAAAATTTGAAGTAAAATTAATCAATTTGTCTTTTTTCTTTTTTACAAACATACAATTTTTATCAACTTAATTTGAAAGGGACATGCACAATATATATTAGAATAATAATTATTTAATTTTAAAATTTAATTCAATCAATTTAAAAAAATAACATTTATCATATTTAATATTTAAATATCGACACTGTAATTCTTCTTTTTACTTTTAGATTATAATTTTTTTAATAAAAAGAATATAATATATTTATGTTTGACAAATAGAAATGCAAGTGGTATACGAAAAGTGAAAATTGAACAAGTAAAATAGGGTTGATTATCCTCTACAATGCTTTTCTATAGAAAGACTAAAAAGATAAGATGAATCAAAAACTTTTTTCTAGGGTGGTCGGGGGTCTTTGGGATTGGACATCCACATGTTGCAGATTCATCAAAACCATTTCTTTTTATTCAGTTGTAAAATTAATTTGTTGAAATTCATTTTGCCATGAACAATGAATAATTAATGAATACTTCCTTGCAAAAATGAGCAAATTAAGGAATTCAAATCAAATTAAAAACATTGAGAAAGAGAATATCAACTTCACCACATTGATTAATTCAAATATTGCAATGCGAAAATCATTTTTTTTCAGTTGGAGTCTCACATAAATAAATTTGGGTCTTATACATACATAATTGAAGTTAATATTGTTTAAAAATATATATAATATTTTTTTATTACTACAATATCAATTTTTTTTTTGTTACTTTGTTAATCCATGTTTTGAATTTTAAAGCTGAAAACTAAATTAAATGTGTCAACTCAAATTGATTTTACGACAAACAATTAAGTTTCCAAAAAGAAATTAATTGGTTTAGGTTTTTGATTTTTGCCAAATACCAATGTTCCATGATATCTGGAACTTGCAGTCCAGCTGACCAAACCACTTAGGAATTTACTTTCTTGTGTGTTATGTTTCAACACTGCTATCAATTGCAGCAATCAGGTGAACCTCCAATTGCATTACCGATTCATAAGTCCAATCCAAAGTAGTCAATATTTTTTCCCTGTGGAGTCTTATGATATGATATTAAGATTAATTAATTAATGGGGAGTGGGAAACAGACATCACTAATTCATTAATTGCTTTTAGTATTAGAAACCATAATAATTAGAAGATAATTCTAGTGTTTAAGTCTGATTGCTGTCCCACAATCATCAGGTTTTAAGAAGACCCAACAGTCAAATCAAACACATGAATCCAAACGGCACATGAAATTACCATAATTAATCTCACTGAAATAGATAGTAATATCAATAATTATGAGAAACAAATAAATTATCTTCAATGATCAGAGCTCCAAATCTCAATGTTATAAGAGCACCCTTGGTATCTTTTATAATTAAACCTTTTTTATTAACAGTACCATGTCTAATAGAATTGACACACTATCAAGCTTGAGCTTGGTTTAATTACAAAATTCAAAGTTCAAAACTCCATTGAGCTTTTTGTTTTCACGCTTGAACTCGATTCATTAATAAGTTTGATTAGATTTGATAAAATTATAAATATTGATATTAAACATTATTTTTTTATTTATTTTTATATATTAAATAGGTCAAATTATTTAGATGATTCTTTTATTTACATAAAATTTAAATTTTAATCCCTCTGGTGTAATTCATAAAATTTTTATTCTTAAACAAGTTGAATTTAATAATATTAGTCTTATTACTAGCATTGTTAGTTACTCTCGTTGACTTTATTGAAGTGGTAACTTGAATACATGAAATCTATTAAAAATTATATAATTGACACTAAATTTAAATTTTAATCATTCTAGTATAATTTATAAAAATTTCATCCTTATTAAAATTAAATTTGATAATATTAATCTAATTACTAATGCTGTTAGTTACTCTATTAGTTTTGCTGATGTGATTGTTGACTCTATGACATTAGCTTTGCTAACATGGCAACATAGACGGATGGAATCAATTCATTTTGATTGACATTATTTTTTGGTCAGGAGATCTTGTTTCAAAGGAGATCAATCCCTTGTAACTAGAAAACTCTAATTAACAAAATATAATTATATCAATATTAATATATGCATTGAAAGATATAAAAGAAAAATTTTTTTAAATAAACTATTATTATTTAATATGATTTCCTTTAAAATTATTTTTTAATATAAGTTCATTTAAAAAGGTTCATAAATATTTATATAAAAAAAAAAACTAATTGCCTCTAAAAATTACATTGCTAGCACTTTTGAGTTTATCTAAAACTCTATCTCTTTGTTATTTTAGTAATCCATGTCTAGGAAAAAAAAAGCTATTCTATTTAAATGAAAACATAAATAAATTATAGAGGAGATATCAGTCTTTAATATTTGTTCTCACTAAAAGATAAAGACTTTTAATGGCAGAATTTTCTGTCGCTAAACATGTCTTTGTTAACGAAAATGAGTTTTAGTGATGAGAGCCAAAATATCTTTGTTATGGAAATGAGTTTTAGAGATGGAATTTCGTCGCTAAAACTCAGACAAAAAGTGAAAATCTTTAAAATATTTTATCGCAAAAAAATATTTTGTTGATAATGATTAAAAACATTAGCTATAAAAAATTCTATTGCTAATATGATAATTCCATCGTTAAAAAAATTTCAAAAAATTTAAAAACAATATTCCATCTCTAATACTTTTAATGGCAGAAATTTCGTCACTAAAGGTTATCATATATTGCAAAAATTAAATTTACAAATCCGTTGCTAAAAACTAAGTAAACTTGGTTTATACCTTTTAGTTAGGGATGTTCATTAGGTCAGTTTGATTAATTTTGAATCAAATTATTCAAAATCGAATTAAATGAATTATATTATTTTATTTTCATTAATCGAATCGAATTTATGAATTTCAAAAATTAATCGACCGAATTTAATTTGATCGATTCGGTTAATTTTTTTTATTAATTGAATAATAAATATATTTAAGCTAAATTATATTTTAAACTTTTAATTTATCATATTTTAAACAAATTAAATAAAACTATCTAACAAGGTATTAAAATACAAAAATATTATATTAAAAACTCAATAACTTATGAAATTAAAATGATTTGTTTCATGTTTTTTTCATTTTATATTTGGATTATGTTATTTTCGATTAAAATTTTGATTAATTTGGTTAATTCATTTTTCGAACCAAAGTAATCGAAAATCAAAATTCTTCTAAAATCATTTTTGTTAACCAACCAAAATTAATTTTGTGATCGATCAATTAATTGAATTAGATTGATTTAATTGATTAATTCTGTTAAAATTGAATTATAAACATTCTTACTTTTAGCGATGGAATTTCC